TTCATTTGTCTCCCAGGTCTGTCACTGCTGGTGTCCGCCCTTTTCCGTCGGCCATGCAGCATTTCTATTCATTAGTCTCCCAGGTCTGTCACTGTTGGTGTCCGCCCTTTTCCGCTGGCGATGCAACATTTCTTTTCATTTTTCCAGGTCTGTCACTGCTGGTGTCCGCCCTTTTCCGCTGGCCATGCAGCATTTCTATTCATTTGTTTCCCGGGTCTGTCACTGGTGCTGCCGCCCTTTTCCGCTGGCCATGTAGCATTTCTATTCATTTGTCTCCCATGTGATTTCTTTCTTTTTGTTTTTCAGGTTTGGTGCCTGCTCTGCTGTTTTCTGCCCTGTCCGCTGGAACAGGCTCACCTGTGAAAGGTTCTTGCTCCTTTGAAAAGGGTGCGTGACTGTCTCCGGGATTGCGTTCCTGCCACAGTGTAACTCTCTCCCCAGGCGCCAAAAATCAATTTCATGTCACATCCTTCGCTCCTCATGCTTTTATTTCTTGTCCTCACGTGGTCAGCTCCCCGCTGATTGAGCAACATGACCAGCATCATGTTCGCAATTGAAGAAGAATACCCCAAAAGGATTACTGTTAGGGTTTCTCAATTCTTTCTTGAGATGTGTCCGCCCGCTCTGTACTGCTGTGTCCGCCCCTGCCTTGCAATCCTTTACACTTGTCTCCCAGCTCTGGGCTGCTGTGGCCGCCTCTGCCTTGCAATCCTTTGTCTCCCAGCTCTGGACGTCGCAAGCTCTAGTTTCGATTTTGAAAAACACAAACTGTTTGGGGTCTACGGTGGTGTAATTTCCTTTCAGGGTAAACATTCCAGTTCTTCCGTGCTAGTACATGGCACGTCCAAAGGTCAAAGTAGACAGGCATATCACGATCCACACTCGCTTGCTTTGCTCGACATTGCTTGTGAAAGTTTGCCTCTCCAATGCAATGTCGCTAATGTCCAATTTGACTCTGATCGATGGCCACTTGTCCTCGCGGCCCCTTGTTTTTCTCATAGCAAAAGCACCTGCTGCAACTCATGCGTGCGAGTTCATCTATTCATCGACTCATCTACCAACTTTGCGCATCCTTTTGTCAAACAGGTTCATCTACCGAACTTTATTGACATGTATTGACGAGTTTCTCTTTGCGACCGCAGAATCATAAGCATTGGGAAAGTATGCCAGCAGTCAGGGCCTTTACTGTAATTAGTTTCGAGTATCCTCGGAACAAGCAGACTACAGCAAGCAACAAACAGACTGCAATTGGTTTCCTCCAAACATAGATACGTTGTGCCGATTGGCCTACAGCAAACAACAATACATTCAGAATCATTCAGCAAGGGTGCCGTGATCCACAAAGATGGTCACACATATCTTCTTGTGTGCCGTTCTGCCAGGTCTTCCAATGTCCACAACGAGACGTGGAGATTCGAGAAGCTGGACACTGAGTCAATGATTTCAAAATGCAAGTTGAAGCAGACAGTTCAACTGCAACGGATCTGCGCAAGCCACCACCTTATATACAACAGTTTTGGATCTAGTTATACTGAGCATGACTTAAAGGGGCAAGATAATCAGATGTGCAACCGCAATATTCCTGGTGGATGTCAACCATCACAATGCAAGGTTGTTGCATCTTCTTCTAATGAATCATTAGATGGGGAGACATCGTGCCGAACTCAGACTTAGTTCGTGATATGTTTCATCTGAGGTACACATGCATACAGCTGAAAGACACAAAAAGTCAATCTAGTTGTGGTTGTAGATGCACATGTTACTATACCGCACGGTCCCTTTACTCATGTAAAGTTTCAATTGACCGAAGGGTCAGTTTCGAACTACGCTACACCGCCAGCAAGTAGCCCTCAGCACCGAACAAAAGAACACTGAATCTTTTGAGGTGTTTGTGTCAATGACTGGATGAGTGTGAGGTTCTATGACTCTATGCAGGCAATGCAGGCCAGCCTGCGTATTTTTGGGCGGCTTCGGTGGCAGGGTGTTGGTTTGTTCGTTCTGTGTCAAGAGCGCTTTGTTTTGTTGTGTATGTGCCACTAGTAAACTCTATATAATGCCATGCCGCAAAAACATGGCTCAAAGCAGGTGAACTGGCCAGCTTGCTGGGGGTGTAGTCCAAGTACAGAGACACTCACACCGTACTGACACACCACTTGTCCTTGCAAGTTGAAACAATCGCGTTCATAACTCATAATGATACTACTGGTAGCAGCAAGAAGCTACTAGGTTGGAGGCCGTCGCTCTTAGGTAGGAGGCCATTGCTAGTAGGTTGGAGGCCATCGCTAGTAGGTTTGAGGCCATCGCTATGAATAATGTTACTACTGGTAGCAAGAAGCTACTAGTCGCACCGCGAAGCACTTGTTCAGACTGTGGGCAGAACACAAACGGTTCCTTTTGACCTTGGAGCAACACAGCAGAACTCCTATTGTACAGCAATACTTGCACAGCACTTCCCTGCGAAACACGCAGCATGACTTACTTTTGGAACGATGAGGCTCGAAGAAGATGTGATGCTGTTATCACAAGCCGTCTCTATATTAATTTGAGGTTAAACTTCTCATTATCCACTCACTGTTTTCATCGATACATTTTGAGTTCAGCAAGCGGTTTTGAGGTGTATGCCGAGTTTTACGCAGTCAGCACGGCAGAGAGGGGTCTGGTGAACAAGGCACATATCGCAACGAATGTCGTTGTGAAATTGCAATTCTTTGCAGAAGACTTACATATATTTATAAGCAACCCACAAGCAATGAATGCATGAGTGAGACTTTTTGCAAGGTAAAAGCAAACCTCAGCGACTGCTGGCATCCCACCAGGTGCAGGGTTTTCATTGGAGAATAATGGAGAATATATATACTCTACTTTTGTGTGCGGTGGATTTCTTTCACAGCTTTTTGAGTACATTTACATCTTCAGTCTCACGTGCTTCTGCCCATCAGTGCGGAGCTGGACAAGTTTCAAAGCAGCTTTGCGGCGTGGAGCTGGGAGCCAAGGGAACCAAGACTTCACTGCAATTTGCACCGAAAAGACCGCCCAGACGCCAAAGGCTTGAACTTCAGAAACACCAATAGGAAAAGATGGGTCCCAGGTCGAACACAACAGAATGGACTCGCAAAATTGCTCAGTGATTGACCTTACCTTAGGTGCGGGCAGCGGTGCATTGAAAGAGAGGGACTTCAGGAGCGCTGTCAGGGCGAAGCTAGGGCAATGATAGAAAGCATTGAACAAGCTGAACTCAGGCCCCTTCTTTTGGAACTGGGCATCACGCTGACACCAGCGCAGGCATGTCGCGACTTACTGAAGAGCCAGTAGACACCAGACCTGTGTATCACATGCCTAATGCATGCTTTTTGGGGTAAGCCTTTGCAAAGGTTCTCCTTCTTGAAAGAAGCAGAGAAACAAGAGAGGTGCTAAAAATGCCGAGGGGCAACTTGCAGTGTCAGAGTTTTCAGGCTCGGTCATTGTGGACAGACGTGGCACAAGGAGGTCTGGAACAGGGCAAGTTGTTGTTTGCATATCGAACTGTCAAAGCGAAGATCTAAACATTTCAGGGTCAACCGTTGGTTCTTACCACGCACTAATCACCAAGCTCGTCAGCTCGCTGGATGAGACCAAGTTTATGCTTGTCCATCACCATATCGTCTCTATGCCAGCTTGATGGCTGATTGCAGGGGTGCAGCTGCTCAACTACGAGCAGGCAGAGCAAGTTTGCGGTGGATGTGACTGAGGTGTAACTTTTTGCCAGGCTCTACTTGCTTACTGCAAGCTACAGGAGGGCCCAGTGTGATCCTGCCAAGTTAGCACATTGTTAAAAGGAGCCAATGGCTAGCTGCCTTTCCAGGGAGACCGAGAGGAGCTTTTCATTAGGACGTTTTGTATGAATGTGAACATTCCTCTCGCATTGAACCATTGACATCCTGGTCCCCTTGAACCATTGACTCGTCCTAGTTCACATATGTGGTTGGCCACAACCACCCCTACAACCTCAACAGCCACGCAAATACAACCAGTGCGCAATCCCAAGTTTCTCAATGCGATCTCTTCAGACTGCTATTATTTTTGACTTTGACTTGTTGACGAGCCAGAAAATCCATCATCGACAGCCAGGGTCTTCAAAGCCTCCAGAGGTGCCGCACCACCAGGGCTGGAGCCTTAGTGCCAAAGTCGCCTCGAAATGTAGGGCAGCGAAATGGAGGGACTTCTATAGGCAGCCCAGCCTATTTAGGCAGCTGCTTAGTACTTTTTCCACCAAAGCGCAATCCTTGTGATCCGCCATTGGTAGAGGCAGCCTCTTGAAGAGATCCCTTTGATAGCCACGAAGGACCGGGCCACAATTTACAGCGTACATACAGCATCTCTTGGATTTGTTGACCAGTGGTGCGCTTGATCAATGTGTGATTTTGGAAGTAACTATTCCATACATACGATTCCTTGAAACCCTAGTTCTTTGCTTTTGCAGGGGATGCTTCACTTTCTATAGATTTGGAGTTCGATGTGTGTAATTAAACCTGACAACAGGAGGTATGATTCCTTTTGTCAAATTAGACACTGCTAAGCTGTTAGTTTTGTAAGGAACCCCAAAGGGTACTCTGCCTTAGCTAAAGCCAAACAGCTTGCCAGAAAAGTGAGGAAGGCAGCCAGTGCCAGTTACCATAAACATTAGTGAAACATAGTGAAACAATTTAAGCAATTTTTGGAGAGTGGTCACCCACTACCACAGCCGGACAAGGAATTCAAGAACCCGTGACCCTCCAAGCCCGGACATCACCATGTGGACCTTGTGAAAGAAGCTGCCAGCTTCAACCGAACACTGAATGTTTTTACGGACTGAATTTACTTTTTGTCTCCATTTTCGGCCAGAAGGGTAAGAAGCGTCGTTGCGGAGCATATGATGGCCTCACATCCATTTGATTTTGGTGACTTTTCTTCTACGTAGAGAAGAGGCATCGTGTCAAGTCCAGGAGCTGCAATTTGGTCTCGATGAAGAGCTTCCAGAGAAGAGGCATCAGAAATTTCTTGCTGTGAAGAGTGTGCTCGCGACAAGATGTCTCAGCCAGGACAGAACGCTGGCCAAGAAGTTCGACAACTCAGAATACCAGGATGTGAAGAGAAATTGTTTTTCTCAATTGAAGATTCATGAAACTGCTAGTATTTTCCTACAGCGGATGCAGTCGTAAATCAATTCTCCTCAGGCCTTGGTCCTGGCCTCCCTCTCATAGAGGTGGGGTGACTATGATCAGCATGTCTCATCACATGAAGCAAAGTGTCATAATAAACTTATACGGTACGATTTCATTTTTCCCCCAATAGCGATAGCTCTGGGCTGCTGCTCGTGCCGGCTTTCGAGACGCTGCCGGTGTGGGCGCTGGTGCTGGTGAGCTGTCTCGGTGCTGTGTTGGGGCTGGCCCCGGCGCTGGTATCACCTGGTGGGATATGGTGTGGTGGTGGCGCTGGTGTCGGCTGGAGACAGGGTTTGTGCTGTGCAGACTTGAGACAGGTGCCGGTGCTGGTGCTGGGTGCTTGTGCCGTTGCTGTGAGCTGGCTGGGGGCACTTTGAATATAGGTGTCGGTGCTGGGTACTGGTGCTGGTGGTTGTGTTTCGAATAACCTGGCATGCCTTGTTCTTGATACGTTTTAACGCTTGCGCATCGTGCCTGGTGCCTGTGAAACCTGAGAACTGTACTGTTTGCGCGCAGTACAGTTCACGCGCGCATTTTGGTACGAGCAGATTGATATGGGCAACATCACGTCACTGGTTGCATGCATATTTTGTACGCATATGCTTACATGCGCAACATCATCAACATCATATTGTTTTGATCGGGCCATACACATGCTGGAGCAACATTTTTAGTTTGACACGTGAAGATTGGAAGGTAGCATCATATATTTCACCGGGGCAACATGCTGGAACGACATCCTTTATTCTGTGCGCTTCGAAATGTGCTTCTCCCCACTTGGTTGCCCATTGCGTTGGCAGAAGCGGGTTGTGACTTTTGCGCGAAGACACGAAGACACGCGAAGACACGAAGACACGAAGACACGCGAAGACACGAAGACACGAAGACCCGAAGACACGCGAAGACACGAAGACACACGAAGACGCGAAGATATGAAGACACGAAGACAAAGACACGAAGACGCGAAGATATGAAGACACGAAGACACGAAGATATGAAGACACGAAGACACGAAGACGCGAAGACACGAAGACACGCGAAGACACGAAGACACGAAGATACG